AGTATAAAAATTTTTTGTTAAAATATGTTTAAATTGCTCTATCATGTTAAATCCAAGCTTATACTTGCAACTTCAAAATTCCTTTAATTTTTTTTTAATTTTGATTTTCTTAAAATAACTTTCCGCGCTTTTAATTTAAACATTTTTGGTTGAGATACCTATCGTCACTGTTTTTAGTTACCTATCGTTTCCGATTTTTATCTGTTTTCGCTTTAAAAAAATTTCAGACCTCTATTAAATTTTTTTTTTTTACTTCAATTGTTTTTTTTTACAAAAAAAAAAACAATTGAAGTAAAAAAATTACAAATTTTTTACTTGAACTTTTCTGTGTTTTTAATACAATTTATATATTTTTGATATAAAAAATTAGCCTGTGATCTGTGATTGAGCTGTAACTACTTTTTTTCTAAGTGATGTTTCAAAAAAAGAGTTCGCGTATAGTGTATATATATTTCTATATAAATAAAAGATATAAGTATTTATCAAAAAATTAGTTAGTTAGTTTTCTTTCACTGTTCCTAGACCTTTTGTTTTTTGTTGGTCTGGAAAAAAAACGATCATATAGATTGAATTGTCAATCAAAAGCTTTGAGTTTCTATATCATTATCATATTTTAGCGCAATTAAAATTACCAAGAACATAGCTACTTTATTTTAGAGATTTTTTTGAATAATCTTTGAGAATTTTTATTTAAACATATTAGACGGTTTATAGCTACAGTTAATCAAATATTTTTTTCATTAATGTTTATTTTTTATATTAATTCCCATTAATAATTATATCAATTGTAACAAACTCTTCGTTGCATTCTAATTTGCAAGTCATTTTTCTACCTTCCACTGCCTAATCGACAATTCTGATGAGCTTTAATTATTGATACAGAGATATTATTAATGGTTGTTGAAGGTATACCTTTGGTAAACTCTGCTTTTTTTTATAATATCTCCCTGATTTTCTCCAGTGGGTATACGTCGTCCGGGGAACGTCGGTCGGGCGTCTTACGAACGTCTGGACGTCCGTAAGACGTTTACCGACATCTCAACAACCTGAAATCTAAAAGACCTGCAGGTAGATAGACCAATAGATGCAAAGATAAAAAAAAGTGATTTATGTTTGCATAGAATGGTAGTTGAATATGCTGAAACTTTTAAAATTATAAATTTTGAAAAAATACTACAACTTGATTTTCATTTTTTCCATACATTTTTGTTTGCATGACTTATTTTTTGTTATTTACTTATTGATATTAAACAAATGTTGATTTTTGGAACTTCGCTCATTTAACATCAGTTAATATTAAACACATTTTAAATTTTACCTTTTTTTTTCTTTTTTATATTTTGTATTTCACAATTGCGCCTAGTGTGCACACAAAATATTTCAGGATTGTAAGCACACGTGTGCTTATCTAAGTGTGCTTAAATCCACGTATTTTACCTGTTAGAGAGAAACGATTGTCAGCACACGTAACAAATTATCAAATTTGTTATGTGTTATGATTATTGTTTCGTTTTTCAGAGAAAAAAAATCAGAATTATGCATACCATTAAGATTTTTTGATGTTAAGGGTGCGCATAAGTCTGGGAATGTTTCCATCTCAAACAATCATTCTACATCAACAATTTGAGTACAGAAGATACGTTATATGAATTATTATTTTTAGTATAGAATGTATTTTAAAGTTTATATATATATATATATATATATATATATATATATATATATATATATATATAATAGTTTTTATTGTATGAGAGCAAAATATTGATTTAGATAAATTTGAAAATATTTCAGGAGATATTCCAAAAGCTAACGATATCTACAGAGTTCTCACCAAATCAGGGAAATTTAGTAAGTTTTGATAAAATCGAGGAAAACTATATTTAGTAAAAAAGAAGTATTTTGCTTTATTAAAAGCTTTTAAAGTGATTTATTATTAATAAATTTTCTTTTCCATGTAACTTATGCTTAAATAGAAATTAAAACATATTTTAACACTAAAACATATTTTAACAAAATCATATAGGTATCAGAAATAATTTTTTTTTTTTTTTTTTTTTTTGATAATTTACCAAATATTTGCTTACATTGGTCATTTATTTTCAGTATGAATTAAATAAATTTTGCAAAAGCAATATTTTGTAAAGGTATAAGAGGACACAGGTCAGAAATTTAAGGTTTAAGTTTACTATCCGAGTACCCCAAAAATGTTAATAAATATAGTAAGTGGGGCATCTGGACACTTCATTTTCATATTTAGAAAAATCTGGGAGGTATCACATTTTTAGAAAATCGACATTGAAAATCTGATAAAAAGTCATTATTTTCGTACTTGAAAAAACTAAATATACAGACAGAAAGTTGAAGTTTATTTAAAAAAATGTTCATATATTATACATAAACATTATTAGAATACACAAAGTTGGTCAAAAAAACATTTTTTATTAAAAATGTTTCTTTTTGACTATGCATTTTTATTTTTATTTTATTATAGATAACCTAATATATTGAATCTATGGCTCCTCTGCTCTCTAAGGAGAAGAGAGAATACCATTTTAAAAGAAATCATGTACTTTTTCAAAAAATCATTTGCTGTTGCTGCCTTGAAAAGAACAACAAATGCATTCCAGTTAATAAAAATTTGGAAGGCCTGGTTCAAGTTTTCTTAAGCCTGAGTTTTCACTTAAAGTATTTGCCTACCCTACAGGATTATGTCCAGGTTGCAAGAAAAACTTATATCTCTGTAAGGCTGGTAAAACTATTGCAGACACAGTTACTTTAAAATGGAAAAATTCTGATTTGTCTAGCTTGCAAACCTCTAGAGATTGCTCAATATTATGCACTATATGCAGTCAAGGTAGAAATAGATTATTAAATAAAAGTATGAAAAAGGGAACTAGCTCAACACTGAAATTTTGCCAAATATGTTTCTGTGAAATTGCTAAAGGTAAACCCCACAAATGTTCCCCTTTAAAGAGCAGCACAAATCTTTCTGAGAGTATTTCTAAAGTTTCTAAAAAAGTAAAAGAACAAGTAGCTTCTTCCCTTCTAAAAGAAATTTATTCTGATCAAGAACAAAGCCTAGGAGCTCAAGCCATTCTCAGAACAGGTAAAATATTGTTAAATAAAAATAGCTGTTATGTACATTTTTAAAATAACAGTTTATATTATATTAAGGAGGTAAAAGTATTCATATTACTATCGGTACTCGGGAAAGTGACCAGAGAAAGATTCCTTATAATGAAGTAGAAGTTTTAGTAAATACCTTAGGACTTAGTCAATTGAAGTCATATGAAATGTTAAAAACATTGAGGAGAAGCGGCGTAAAGTTTGAGTCAAACATAGAGAAAGCCCTGGATGAAAAAAGTAAACTACTTTCCAACTTTTATGTCACTGAATTATTAGACTTTCAAGAAAAGGAAAAAGATAATGACTACGCTACAGTGAAGAGACACTTGGTATATATTGAAGATATTACAACATTTTTGGATTTTGTAATGAAATATCGAGGGCAGGTTCCACAAAACACATTTGTAAAGGTTGAAATAGATTCAGGTATTTATATTTAATTTATTTAATTTATATTACTTATTATATTTTAATAATTGTTTTTTTAAAAACTTGTTTTTAAAAATATTATTTGTACATATTTATTTACAAATATGTATGTGTGTAAGCATATATATATTTATAGGTGGAGGATCACTGAAAGTTATAGTAAATCTGTTTGATCCAACCAAGGACAGGACAGAAGATAGCAGCTCCTTAGGATCATACTCAGGAGCAAATACGTCACTTGTTTTAGCTTATTGTGAAAGGGTAAGTGAGAATCATTCTAACATGACAATGATTGTGGAAAAATTAAAATTGCATGAATGCAAGTACTCATTGGCTTCTGACATGAAGTTAATCAACATATTGCTAGGAATTTCGGTGTGTTTATTTTAAATAATTTTAAGATAATAAGGCATATTATGGTAAAAACTATATTAGAAAAATGTTTTTTTTACCCTACAATATATTTATAAATTGAATTATAATATAAAATTTTAGGCTCATGGAGGAAAGTATGCTTGTGCATGGTGTGAAGGTTCTTCAGAATTATTTTCTGGAGAGTTAAGAACATTTCAATCTTTGAATAATTACTATGAACTGTATTCATCTGCAGGATCTCCGGTGAAAAGAATGAAAGAATATAATGTATAAATGAATAAATATATTGTAAATATTTTCAAAATTTATCATCCATTATAATTTTATCATTTTAAAAAGAATAAAAAAAATTTATTTCCATATATTTAGAATGTCATTAATCCTTGTCTGCTTAAGATAGAAGACAAATCTCTAAGTATAATAAGAGAGATTCCATTACCAGAACTTCACCTTCTGATGGGATTTGTTAACCATGTGGCAGAATTTATAATGCAACTTTGGCCTGGATTTATAGATTGGGTCAAGAGCATTGGATGCCTTCGAAAAGGTTACCATGGAGGAACATTTGAAGGAAACACGTGTAGAGAGATACTTAAAAGTTGCGACACACTTGAGTTGATAATTCCTGTTGAACTGTATCCTCTCTTAGAAACAATGAGAAAATTTAATAAGGTTGTTCATGGTGTCTTTAGCTATAAACTTGACCCAAACTATTCAATTTTAATTGAAAGTTTTACACAAAGCTATAAGGATGCACAAGACTATTGCAGAGAGGTAATTGCTGTTTTCTTTACCCTTTGTATTTAAAACCAAGTTATTGATAAACATTTTTATAGTAAGCTTTTTTAGTTTTTAGGTAAACAGCTCACGGTTACTTGGAAAGTACATGCTGTAACAGCACATCTGGAAACATTTGTTGATTTGAGTGGCCTTTCTCTTGGGCAGTTTAATGAGCAGACATCTGAATCTTGCCATTCCAAGATGAAAAGTGTAATAAACAGGTTTGGAGTCTCGCAGTACAGCAACAAACATAAAGAAAGAAGCAAAAGAATTGCTGAAGTGTTCAGTTCAAATAATTTATAAGTTATTGAACATTAATTGTACATCAAAACATAAACATTGAAAACTTAAAGTTAAAAAAATTTGTAAATTTATTCAAAAAGACACTAAAAATACATTAGTATAAACAGTTTTTGAAATATTTTATTTAGTATTTATTATATTATTATTATTTATATATATTAGGTTATTAGGCAACTATGCATACAATACTAATATTTTACTAAATTACTTATATACTATCAATATGTTCTATTTTACTAAGCATACTATGTTCCTAATATAATTCAAGCATATCTATACCTTTTTCACCAACTTAGATATATCTAAGAGCTGTCTAATGAAGTTGATGTGTAAATACAAAATTTAAGAGCATAAAAACTTGGAATATAAAGCTATTTTATGTTAGTTTTACTGTTCCGTCAATATATTTAGTTTTTTTAAGTACGAAAATAATGACTTTTTATCAGATTTTCTATGTCAATTTTCTAAAAATGTGATACCTCCCAGATTTTTCTAAATATGAAAATGAAGTGTCTAGATGCCCCACTTACTATATTTGTTAACATTTTTGGGGTACTCGGATAGTAATCTTAAACCTTAAATTTCTGACCTGTGAGGAATTACTGCTACTAATTTAAAATAATTTTATGTGTAAAACTTACTGTAATAACGATTGTCAAAATTTTCGAGCCATACTGTCTTTACCTCTTTTTTTTTAATAATTAAAAAATTTGAAAAATAATATTTTGATTTTAAAAATGGTTAAGAATTGAGTGCTTGAAAAATAGCTGGTAAAAAGCACGGATAAAAATCACCCAAAAAAAAATAAAAAATAAATAAAAAAACAGCTAAGCATGCTAAGTTCCACTTAACTTGTCAGACATGGGCTAGAAAGTTGTCGCACGGAAGTCAAAAAACACTTTCAGAAGTTAAAATCATTATCTCACTACTTTAGACTGTATCCGAAAAACAAGCAGTTTTTGTAGCAGATTAGCATGACAAAACTTGTGCAGAAATAGTTTCTGTTGGGATGGAGTACAGGACATTTCCTCAACAACATCATCAGTTAACTTTATGTAATAAGAACGATTTACAATATCAACAAATGTTCCTTGATAGCAAAATTACTAAATCCTATGAGTCAAATGAAACAAAACTTGATATTAAAGAAATATGAAAAAATGCAAAGTTTGAGCTACTCAAACGGTTCAAAAATTAAGATTTTTAATTTTTGAATTTCCTTATAAAATTCAACAATAAAAACCAATTTCAACAATAAAAACCAATTCAACAATTGAAACCGATTTTTTAAGAAAATGAAAATACAAGAAAAAGATTAAACATTTAAACTTCAAAACCCAAAACAAACTATCTGTTTTGTTAGCATGAGTGACGTTTTTACTTATTTCTGAAGTAAACCAACTTAAAGGGCTTTAAAATATTTTTATGTTGAAAACGAATTTTATTTATGAAAACAAATTGTATACCATTATAACAATAGTTTTAAGGTAAAAGTCGTCTAGTACCCTTATTTCCATAGTGATAGCGTAGAAGAACTTTATTCTTTTATGAGATATTTTTCTGATATTTTGAAGATGTTGACAAGACAAGCGTTTTGACAAGTAAAATTATATTCATTATTTAGCACTCAGATAATATTACCTTGGTTACTCAGATAATATTACCTTGGTTACTCAGATAATATTACCTTGGTTACTCAAATAATATTACCTTGGTTAGGCTGCTTGTATTATTATGTGGATGCATGAAATTTACCAGTGAAACTATTGTCTTTATTAATTTTAGAAACCGAACCAAGCAATTAAACTATAAGTTAATGTTTCAAAATGTTTTTGATCTAAAAACTTCATAAAACTTAAAAAAAAAATTTCAAATGTTAAAGCAAAATCATCGTTATCAGATACCTGATTTGAAAAGAGATAAAGATATCAATAGATATTAGTTTTTCCAGTTTTTCCGGTCGAATATTGCCAAGTTTGTTTGAGATAAGATCCATTTCAGCAGTGATGTACAATGTCACTGCTGAAGAAGTTACACAGTCAATAGTAAACAACACAGTGACCCGATTGAGTTTGAAAAGTATTAAACATTATTTCAGTAGAAAATATTTGGTTGGACTTCGCATGCTGGTAGTGGTAAAAAGATTTTTCGAGAGTTACCAATGCTATCGTATTGATATTTGCAATTGCTTGCAAAGAAACTCATACTTTAATTTAAAAAGAAACATTTAGCATGAGCGCATAAATTGTAAAAATTTATCATAAAAATAATGGACTTTTCTGATTCTGGAAAAAAAATGTGACCCAGCAAAAATAATTTTTCACTTAAAAAATTAAAAAATATTTTTATACTTTTACAATTTACAAATAAATATCTGATTAAAATTGAAAAACAAACCAAAATTATATTGATTATTAACTGGAATACAAAACAAGTTTTAGGTATGCTAAATAATTTGGCTCAAAATAATTATCTTATCTAAAACACAAATGTTTTTAAATTTACTGTATATTTATAAAAATGCTAATAAAAAAGTTGTTTATTTGAAAGAAAAATAAATAAATGTAGAAGAGGAGGATGCTAGACGAATGATTTCTGTAAAGTATCAATTATTAAAAAATATTGCTCAGAATATTTTTCAGGAGAATACTGATTTTCTATCAAAATATTATTTAAACAACTGTGACAAAATTTATGAAATGTAATGATATAAGTATACAAAAGGTAGTCTATTTTGATATAAGTATACAAAAGGTAGTATATTTTTTCAGAGAAGTAAATTATTAAGTATTAACAAAGTTGGTAAAAAAAGTTCTTTAAAGAAATTGTATGACAAAAGTGGGTTTGACACATTGTTATTTTATAAAGTATTATTTCAAATATTGAAGATACGAAGTCTTTAAAATTGACCAGTGTTAATTGGTGTGAAAATTTTTATCAAGCACCCATGTTTTCTAACCATAATGCATTTTTATTCTTTGATTCATACTGATTTCAATAGCTTACGTCTCAAGACTTTGGAAAAAACGACAACATTGTAACATTCTAAAGTCTTTTTTGTCCGTGTTCCGATAAAGATACCAGCTCCAAACTTAGCCTTGGACAGCTAAGGAATAAAAATGTTCTAAATAATTGAAGCTCGTTTCCACAGAGACACAGCCTATTATAACCAGCCCATTAGACTGTCATATTGGATATTCAAAAGCTATACACACGTGTGGTTCAATTTAGTTGACTTTCAAAAGCTATACACACGTGTGGTTCAATTTAGCTGCAACTTTTTCATTTCATGTATTTGGATAAATAGTTTTGTAAACAACTGTAAGATGTTAAATAAGCCATAAAAAATCAGAAAGAATTTCTCAAATAAACGTTAAAATTTTTGAGTAATTTATATTTAGCTGACAATTATCAATTGTTTATTTAAGGCATCGCTAATGTTGAGAGCATTAATTATTTTATTTTTAGTTATTTTTAGCAAAAGTAAAAATGGATAATGGATAATTGGCTGCCAACCTGATTTGATTTCTATCTTTTAATAAATACATTGAACTTGAATAACAACCATATTACACAACTTACCACAAGTTTTTAAGAATAAGTTCAAATACATAAAGTATATATTTGATTATTTATATATGAAATTTATATAATATTGTTTGATAATTTGATAAATTAAAAAAAAAATTGAGTGATATTTTTAGAGGTCTGTACGATCTCTAAATTTTTTAAAAATTGCTACAAATGCTATTTTCCAGCAGGTAGGAAAACCAGTTTCAGTTCAACTTTCAGTTTCAGTTTCAAGTATGTGAAATAGTTTAGAGAGTGTTAAGGAAAGTGCTGAAAAAATATTTTTGTAAGACTGTGACCACAAGCTATAAAATTGATTTAAGTGTAAAATATCTTAAGCAACAGAAGCAGGAATAACTTTGATGTTTAACATTAGATTAACTTTAATTTGGACAGGAAGAGTTAGGCCATTTGATTAACTTTAATTTGGTCAGGAAGAGTTAGGCCATTTGATTAGCTTTAATTTGGAGAGGAAGAGGTAAGCCATTTGATTCAATATGCAAGTTAGAGGAAAAGTTCTTCTGAAATTATTAGAAAAGTTAAAGTACCAGAAAACCAAAAAAAAAAAAAAAAAAAAAAAAAATACAATATTGTTTTTATATTCACGTAAACAACAAGTT